AGGGATCACCCAGTCTTTATAAAAATACACGCCAATGGAAGGTCAAACTGGGGCAGAGAAGACAGCTCATGCAATGGAAACCATGCTTCTCCCATTGCTCTTGCTGTTGCTGTGTGCTTTCAAGACACTTCCAACTGATGGAGATCCTAAGGAAAATCTATCATGGGTTTTCTTAGCAAGATTTCCTCAGAGGAGGTTTGCCATTGCCTTCCCCTAAGTATGACTCCCCTGTCTCACAAACTTGAATTTTTGATCTGAAGTTCTTAGCAGATACTGTAGGACCACCAGAAAAAATCCCAATGATCTCTCTCAAAGGAATCAGACCCACATTTCTCTTTCTACATAACAAGGGTGATTCCTTCTTGAGATACTTGGAGTTGCCACTGACTAGTCTGGTCCATAGCATCCTGTGTTGTTTCCTTTGTTGTTATGTACCTTCAAGTTTACTCTAACTTATAGTAAGCCCGTCCTAACTTATTTGTAGCAAGATTTATTCTTAGCAGCTTTGCCATTGCTTTTCTCTAAGGCTGAAAGAGTGTGACTTGCCCAAGGTAGTGGGTTTCCTTGGCTGAGCCAGTGACATGAGCATAGGAAATCTGCTCTGTGTTTTTGCCCAAATTTTGGCAGTGTGGATTTGCCCCACCAAAAACAGCCTTGGTGCCACACACTCAGAGATGATGTGTTGCCCACCTGTAGCATGAACAGTTGCCATAAATTTAGACAGCAGAGACTGACTTGTTTTATTGGTCTCTGCAAGCTGCTTTGGGAGCCTTTTTTGGCTGAAGTTGGGATTGAAAATCCTCTAACCAAACAAACAAAATCCAAGGGACGATTCCTATGGCACCTTGCCACAGCGTCTCCAAGGGGTGAGCAAGATGCCTGAAAGCTCCTAAAGAGGAAACTACCTTATATTTATATTTATATATAAATATAAAAAAGCAAACCTTGATTTTGCCATTTTATATAAGGCCCACAATTTTACCATCCGTTGTATTTAATGGGACTTGAACATCCACAGATTTTGGTATCTACAGGGGATCCTGGAACCAAACCCCAGCAAATACCAAGGGCCCACTGTATACCCTTCCTGATGTAATTTGCAAAATCTTGGCTCCTCATATACAACTCCACATTTGCAGCTTTGACTTTTGCGGATGTGATTATTTGAGATTTTGATTAATACGCTCTCTCTAGGAATCTCTAAGTCCTTCAGCACAATTCTGCTGGAAGTTGATCATCGGGTTTTGTTGGAGAACCTAGAAGTTCCTAGAGAAAACACTTCTCTAGGCAAGTGTAGGTTCTCCAGCAGGATCCTGTGATCAACCTCTGGCAGATGTTGACCATAGAGTTGCACTGGACGACCTGGAGATTCCTAGGAGCATTCTCTTAGGTAAAAAGAATAGTGTTCTTTTATTTAGGGTTTTTCCACATTCACGGAGTTCCTCCACCCCTAACCCCAGCAAATATGGGGTGACCACGGTATAGGCATTTTTTTGCTATGTGAACCAGCGATGGTTACTGATATGAAAAACTGGCTCAGCTTATATGCTAGTGATTTTCTTAAAAAAACAAAAAGCAGCAGCAGCTGAAGGTGGGAGTATATGGCAGAAATGTGTGTTAAAACATTCTGTCCAGCTGTTAATGAATTTAGTTTGCACTCATTAGCAGAGCAAGGAGTTCCATGAATCACCCTCCAGCCTTGCAGAGTGAGCACTCCATGCAAGCCGCCTCTAATTGCATCCTGGTTCGGAAGATGCTTTAAAGTAATCAGATGTTCCAAAACTCCACCGCCTTGTTGTGTTTGAAGGAAGAAAAGATGGGTGTGTTTTCGCCTGCTGGCTCCTCCTTGCATTAAGAAGCCATATGTAGGACATGGCATAAACACCCTCTGGAATGCACCAAAGCTGTTTGCCTTTGGCTTTGAAGGCAGGGTGACACTGTTCTCAATGAAACTCCCTTTCGATAGTGGGCAAGATAAGGAAGGCAAACATGCTCCTGTGGCAGCAAGGGGGCAAGGATCAATGCCTGGCCTGGGATGGATGCCCACGGGGCACCGGATGGAAAAGGGGGAATTCCTTGTCAGTGGATAGGAAGAAGCTCCATCCTTATTAGGCAACAGCAGGAGTGCTTTATAAAACATTTTTAATGAGTGCTAAAGCTGGCACTCTGCTAGCGACTTAGGAAGGTGTAGATCCAGTGTGGTGTAGTGGTTTGAGTGTTGGACTATGACTCTGGAGACAAGGGTTGAAATCCCAGCTCGGCCATGGAAGTCCACTGGGTGATCCTGGACAAGTCCACACTCTCAGTCTCAGAGGATGGCAATGCAACCAACCAACCAACTCTCCCCCCCCAAAGAAACTTGCCAAGAAAACCTTAGGGTCACCAAAAGTCAGAAATGACCTTTGGGGTCAACCCCACTGCCTACAAATCTACAACAATGTCCTCAGTATTCTATAAAGATTATTGCTTCCTTAAAAGTCATCATGGTTAGCCAAGAGAGCAAACAGATGAGTAGCTTTAATAAAGCAACTAAGCCCTTTCAAGCAAATTGGGAAAGCAAATAACAAGATGTTATCTTTCTGCTGATGGGAGTTATTTGGCTGGGGCAAGCCTATTTTTTACAAGGAGACTGCGTCTCACAAGGTTCTTTCCAAGTATTAATATTCTGAGAACGAACATTTATTTTTTTTGTGGTAGTAAAACCACCACCACCAATGTGTAGCTGGATGATGCATAAGATGGGTTGTGGGTCACTGGGTGTGGTGTGTGGGTCCAAGCGCAAGTGAGTTGTCTGATCAGTACTGTGCCCCACCCCATCGTGACAACAGACATGAAGGCGCTGGGTTTGGTTGTGTTATCAAAGGGATGGTGTCTACCCACAATATCTGCTCTTGTTGGAAGAGTTGCGATCTGCCTCACAGCCCTTCCTCCCACGTGGGATCTATTGAACTGCAGTGATGAAATCCCAATCTAAAATATGACATTTCAGTGCACACCAAATATCCTGCGATACTTTATACTGGACGCTTGTTTTCCCATTTTTGTAAAAAACAAACCAACCCTGAGCTTGGTTCTGGAATAAATCACTGCTGGATATTATATAAAAATTTGGTAGTGGGTAAATTTGATATTCATATTCTTCTTTGCCAAAGTACAAAATTCTTTTAGGGGAAGACCACAGGGGTCAGTTCCACAACGCTCTTGATGAAAACAATCCCAAAGAGTTACTGGTCAATGCATGCTTGTTATGATGCTGATAATGTGTGTATGTATAATGAAACAGGGAACTGTGCACAAAGCAACAGAAATGAGCTGACCCAGAGTTTTTAAGTGCTGATGAAGCATTGTAAACTAGACACCAGAGCTGGCCAATGAGTTTATGGGACCTAGTGTGGATGTGTGTGAGATTGGGAGCTTTACCATTGCTGCCTACAAGACGCCATGAAGGTGGGCTGTTGGTGAACAATATGTCTGGGTTGAGGCTAGGTCCAATGGGTTAGAAGCTGAGAAAGTAGGCTTTTGTGTTGTGGCATCCCTGCTAGAGACATCAGAAAATGTATCTCCATTATTTGCATCTTTCCTGAGTTGTGCTGGAACCCGGTTTGGTCATACTGTTACAACAGATCCATGGAACTCAGTAGGACTTTTGTTTAGCCATGTCTAACACAAATCCTACTGATATGAACCGATATGAAGAAATCTGGATCAGTGTGGTCAGACAGTACAATAGAAAAAATATATTGTACGATATCCATTGGGTCAGCATGAGAAATTTGTCTTCTAAGTGGGGTCCTTGATAAATCAATTGGTTTCTTCTTGCATCACTTACATAAAGTTTGTTTAGCTGCAAATGCAGAATTACTGTATTAGTGATAGAGAAGGCATTATCTTCAATGGTATATGGGCAGAATTGGGAACCAAAGAAAAAATTATTCCTGGGATGAATATAACAATCTGTATTTTAATGCTGGATTTACAAGCAATTCAACAGGTCAGTTACTCACTTTTTGTACCTCATCTGTAAACTACTGCTTATGAGGATACAGCCCTACAATGGCTTCACAGGGATGCAAAGCACACACTCCCCTCAAGATTTTTAATTTTTGATTTTTCCATACTATTCCAGATCCTTGGACATGGAAGCCACTGTGCACAATTTATGCCTCTTTTTTTGTGGGGAGGGGGGCTCTGGTGGCTGCAATTCCTCCTCCAAGCCCATAATACCCTCTACTACATCTGGGGCATTGTAGAGGCTGCCCATATTGTTGCTGCTGCTCCCACCTGCAACAGCAACAGTTTTGAAAAACCCTGAAGGGGAAAAGGAAGCGATGCTACTGCTATGGCTAATAGCGAGCCCCACCCTGAGAGGTACTTTCAGTGGAATGCACCCCACCCTTTTTCTCAGCCACAAGTCGGGTGAATTTCAAGAAGCCCTTGGCAGATGACACTCAAAAAGGTTTTTGCAGAGATGGGTGAGCATTTAACCAGGTCATTTCATCTTCTCAGAGTGGCAGAAGCTGCACAACGCAGCAGTTTTGCTCCTATGGCATTCTTTGAAGGCAAAGTAGCCCTCTTAGCACATACCACCAGATCTTTTTGGAACACAGACCCTGTTCCTCACATAGCCTCCCACCCTGAGGCCTCGCCTCAACAGAACAATACACAGATTTACATGCTAATCCTCTCAACCAAGGATCACACAATATATATACCCCACACGCCTCCATGCCACCGTTCTCTGAAGATGCCAGCCACAGATTCAGGCAAAACGTCAGGAATACATTCTTCTAGAACACAGCCTCACAGTCTAAAAAACCCACAAAAATCTAATTTATTCTGTACTTTGTTGTGTGTCTTCAAATCAGTTCCAAGTTATGGTAACCCTAAGGCAACACTATCATGGAGTTTTCTTGCCAAGTTTCTTCAGAAGGGGTTTGCCACTGCCAACCTCTGAGGCTGAGAGAACGTTACATACCCAAGGTCACCCAGTAGGTTTTCATCGCTGAGATGGGATTCGAACCATGGTCTCCAGAGTCATAGTCTAGCACTCAAACCTCTACACCACACTGGCTCCCCAAGATAACCCCCCAAATCCCCAGTCAATGGGCATGCTGGCTGGGGAATCTGTGGTCCCAAAAGTAACTTTCAGTAAACGTTAAAACAGAAAGGCTGATATTCCAAGAATCTCACCCAACTCCCTCGCGCCCAAATACATCTCTGCTGTGTGCATGGAACCAGCTATTTAATAAACTCAGGAGTTGCCCTGTTGCCTTCAAGCTTCCAAGTTGTGTTGTACCTGCTTCTCTTTTTTTTAATAATAGACACCAACAGGAAGAATGCCATTTAGAGCAGTCCACATATCCCCACCCCAAAAGTTGGTAATTTCCATTCATGTTGAAACTACAACTTTCACCATCCCCAAGCAACACAGATATCAGCCAACAACAATGGCAATTGCATTCCAAGACATCCAGCAGACAAGAGGTTTGAGGAGGCCATTTTCAAGACTTGCCCACAGCATTTGTTTCTATTTATCCAAGAATGACAAACAACAATTTGAGAAAATAAATGTTTTATTAGGTGTGCTTTAAAAAAAAAAAAGGGGGGGGGGATAAAACACTCATCAAAAACCCCTTTCAGATCACTAGTGTTTTCCACTAGCATCCTTTTGTTTAGCTTGATCTGCTCCAACAATGGAAAAAGCCAACTACATCAGGTGTTTTGTGCTGCTCTGGTCAGATTCAGAGAGACAACTGTAGAACACAATAGACTGGGATTGGAGAGATCATGCTGTTGGAATGGCATGAGAGAAAACTTGGTAACTAAGGCATACACTATGTTAAAAGAGCAAATTAATTTTCACAGCAGGCAGCTATTTTCAGTTTTGCTTTTAAGCTTTGCAAGGCAGGGCTAATGTGACTACGGAGAGTTACTGGTAGACAAGTAAGACAGGGCCACATAGAACTGGGTTTGCCAGACACAGCCACACAGAGGCTTCCAAGCTTGGTGTTATCAAAGACCTAATACAGTGGTCCCTCCACATTTGCTGGGGTTAGGGGTGAAGGACCCCATGAATGTGGAAAACCATAAACAACAAAACACTATTCTTTTTTACCCAAGCGAACACCTCTCTAGGAATCTCCAGGTCCTCCAGTGCAACTCTATGGTCAACATCTGCCAGAAGTTGATCACATAACCATGCTGGAGGACCTACAAATGCCTAGAGATGTGTTTTCTCTAGGAACTTCTAGGTTCTTCAGCATTACTCTATGGTCAAACTCCAGCAGAATTGTGCTGGAGAACTTGATTCTTAGAACATATGAAGCAAAACCACAAATAAATCCACAAAAGTCAAAGCCGCAAATGTGGAGGGCCGACTATAATTTCTTCCCTCCTCCAACTAGGATCTTTGCAATTCACATTTAAGTAGTAACACCTGCCTTAGTATTATCCATACATAATGGTCTTAGTATTATCTGTACATTATGCTCCATCATAATTCCAGCCGTTGTTGGACTGCAGCTCTAAGCAGCACAGTAAAAGGTATCAAATGCCGGGAGTTACAATCAAATACCATCTGGAAAGACACTGAACAGTAGCAATGCATGAGGAAATCAGGCAACCCAAAAGAGATAGGTCAGGAGTGGGTTAACTGTGGCCTACCAAATGTATTAAGCCAATACCTCTCATCAGCCCAGACACTGCCAATGTAGACTATCACAAACATTTGAAAGACTAGATAAAACACCACTAGGCTAGACCAACCTTGGATTACAGCAGTGGACCACAGCAGTGAAAGAAATGAGTGTTAACACACAGCACAGTCAGTTATTATCTTATAATGCTTGTTCTACATCCCTCTCGCCCACTTAATTAAAAAGGATCTAAATGAAAGCTGAATAAGTACTCAGAAAAGAAAAGCTAGTGTGAATTACTTTACTAGAGCGATTCAACTCTACTGTATTAACATTCTCTGCTTATGCCACAGCTCGGGTTGCTTATTTGCCTCTTTTCTTTTACTATCACCTGAGTCGGTGATGCCATGACATTAAAGCACCCTTCCCTAACATGGTGCCCAATGGATATTATGGGACTTCAGCTCCCACTTACCATGACCAATGGTCCATGAGGCCAGAGTTTTATTCCAGAACATTTAGAGGGCAACCATTTTAGAGAGGGCCATGAAGAATATCTGTGTTTCCTATTGGCACGTCTCATCTGAAGTACCTTAGGGAGATTATTTTGCACTGGAGAGAGAAAAGGGCTCATTTGGAAGCTATTTATTGTGCTTGGCCCCACTTTTGCTCAAGCCAAACTTTTGTGTCAAACAGGCCAGTGGGGCAGAAGACTGGTTTGGTGGTTGAGAAACTAGAACAGAACAATGGCATCCTTGTGTTGTCAAGTAAGACGAATCCAACAGAGTTCAATACATTGTATTTATTTATGGTGACAGATTCTAAAGAATCTAGCAAGTCTCATGTCAGGCCTAGTGCATGACAGGTTTTGATAGGTGCAGAACACATAACTCTGGAAGTTCCATTCAAAGTGTCATACTCTTCAAAACTTCAGAATATCCACACATACAAAAATAAACATGATCACAGCATACGTCTGATGCAGCCTCCATTTGTAAGAGTTCCACCACGCAAACACACACACACCGCTCCCATGTCATAAAAGTGCATTTTTTAAAAACTCCTCCAGTAAGCCCTTGGTTAGAGGAAGGATTTTTTTTAAACACATATTTATCATTTTAAAGAGGCAGTTCTATTACTTATATTTCCTCAGGTATAATTCAGTCAAAAATGCTGCTAAGCAGCTGTGCTACTTTAGTGATAACCCAGTTCTGTCCTTTTAAATGTGAAACACTGAGGGGCTGCCATAGGTGACAATGTAGAAACAATCCTTTGTGTGAGAAAGGAAATCTTAATTACAGCTCCTCTGCATCAGACAATGTGGCTACATTTGTCTTGGAACACAGAAGAATTCAATGATATACAAAGGAAGCATCTGAAGAACGAGAACTCCCCACTTACATTGTATTAGACCTTTTAAAAAGTGAACAGTTGCCCCTTTGCAGCTTGAAAGAGTTGTGAAAGTGGGCAAAGGAGGAGCAGATATTTGTCTGTATGGGAGAAGATGTAATGTGGGTTTGGCCTTGCCAATTCAGCTCACATTTCCCAGGAAGAGGCAGAATTTTACCTAGACACATTCAAAGTATGATATTTTATTTCAATTTTTTCAGCCTGCCCCAATACGGTACAGCTTTATTGCAAAGAAACAAGATAAGTATGTTGACCTTCAAGGATGCAACCATGAAGCCATCTTCATATAGCCCTTTCAGAGCAGGCCTGCCCAAAAGCCAGTGTTCACTGCCTCATCTTTCTAAAAAAAAAAAAAATGCATAAAGAACTAACCTGAACTGACACATTGCACAAAGAATTGCTATGCAATCCAGAACATCAGGAAAAAGAAAGAGGGAGTATTATGCTTTATAAGTAGTTACTTCAAAAGCTCACGTATTTGTACAAAACACCAAGAGTCTCCTGGACACAGAAATTGGCTTTAAACAGCTCTCTCCCACTGCAGAAAGTACCAAACTCCAGGGCACATCATTCATTTAACAAGAGGCCCACTGGTACAATATAAAATGCTATCTTTCTCTGACATGAGTGGAGCAGGTGGACATAGGCAGCCAATAAGAACAGATGAGCAAGCTCTCAAGCTAGGGAATCTGCAACCGTTTTCATTAAGAGGCCTGGGATTCTTGTAATCTCAGCTCCAAGGCTACTTCCAGAAATGTATCCTGGTCTGCCCACATCTGATTGTGCTTCAGGTCCAGTTCATTTTAGTCTGCTAGTAGTTGGTATACAACTTTTCATCTTAAGAGAGAACTCTCCCCTTCCCAATCAAATGGGCATACTGATGCAAATCTTTTTCTTCACCACTCAGATTTTTGGCACTGCACATTTGGGGACATATCACTGTTCCTTTTCTTTCTCATGATAAGGTACAACATCAATCTTATCAAAACATCTCTACTATTATGAACCACAGCTTGGAAAAGTTATTCTTTTGACTGCAACTCCCACATTCCCTAAGCAAACATGGTCAAGAGCCAATGCTGGCCTTGGAGAATTCTGGGAATTGGTCCAAACAAGCAACTCCTCCAAACTCTAGTATGAACCCAGCCCACTTTTTTTCTGGCTCTGCTCTGACTATGAATCAATACTGCTGGTCCATCCGATAGCAAACCATGGTGCAGTGGCTGCTCTTGCAAACCCCTGCCCATGTCATTTTCCCTTCAGAGAAATGATTCAGTGACCCTAACCCCACAAATTAATTGTAGACATCCCCAATTGAACTACTAATAGGGAATTCTCTCCCCTACAGAAAAAAAAAAATTAAAGGTTTAACAGGCACTTGAATAGGATTTCTTTGGTCCCTTAAAAGGAATCAGCCACTTTGGCATATCTTCTGAAACTGAGTCTGCACAACCATTAATGCTTCTCGTACTAAAAAGAGGGGAAAAAATCAGCTCGCATTTCAGGTAGTGCAGCTCTACCTTTAAACCTAATCCTATCCACCCACCCCATACATAACTCAAGCTTTTTTTTTATTGTAAACATTTCTGATAACTACTCATAACACTGCACAATTGCCCCACAATATACAGCAGACTTAGTTCCAATGCAGGAGCAAGAGGACCATTTTTTTTCTTCAGAGCCCACAACCTCTGCTCCCTACAGGACAAGGACTGGCACCACTTCTGTGCTCAGTTGCAGGGAAGCCAAGTTGGGTAGGAGTGACTGCAAGGCAGGAGAGGCTGCATGTGGGTTACGTAGTAGTTGACATTGATTTCACTGACATACGGTGCTGGCTGATAATAGCAGGTCACATTTGTGACTGTTGGGATTATGTTCTGCTCAGCCAGAACTCTCACAGCCAACATGGCAATGAGGTTTAGCGTCTGCCTCCTTTCATGTCCCATCAGGCACACTGTACTTTCATTCACCACTCTGTGCAGGGTCATCAGGCAATCATACCTTTTACTCTCCATTCCAACAAAGT